CTGCTGCAGCACGAACACACTGTGGCTGCACACACTGTCCATCTTCGCAGACACACACACACACACCACTGCGGCATGCACAGGTGTGTGTGTGTTTATAAATCCCATTCATCACTGCCAAATAACAAAACCTTTATTTCCATTAGACATAATATTAATATATAAGTATATTATAATAATACAGTCAAAGCAAGAATGAAGAAAGATTGTCGCTCAAAGATTGTCGCTCATCTCACCTCTCACTCGGAGGAACGGCGCTGAGCTGATGACGTCACTTCAGTTTTCACAATAAAAGTCTTATGTTTTTACGGGGTTTAATCTGAAATTAATGGAGCTATAAACATTTCCATATATATATATATATATATATATAGGCCAACTCTATACATGTAGAATTGTAAAATATTTTTTTTTACAATACAATTTACTGTTCATTATAAATACAATACATATAGTTCACCTTATACTGCATCCTATAATGAGTTGGGTTATTGTTTTTATTTATATATTCCATCCAGGGTTATTGGCAACTAAATGAAATAAGTGTAAGCTGAAGCACTGAAATGTCTGGAAATAACAGGAAATAAATAAAAACTAAAACTAAAACTGAAATCAACCCAAATAGTAACAAATAGTAATATGACAAAAGCGCGTTAAAAATTTAACTAAAATTAAAAAGAAAAGGTTGAAATATTATAAAGGTAATTTAAAATATCAATAAAACTAAAGTGGTATAAATAATGCAATTTATACTGTGTTATTAGGCCTATATTAATGCCATATTTTATAATGTGCCAAAATTAAACGTTTACTTTTTTGTCCCTTTTCTTTTGTGTTTGCGGAACTGTTGATTGGTGTTTCAGTCCGGAGTGAAAACAGAGCGGCACCGCGCGCGTGCGTGTCTGTTGCGACGCGTGATTCAAAAAACTCGTGTGTTCCCGTGAGCAACGAGGAGTTACCGGAGCGGAGACTCGTTTACCGGGATCAAGAGAACCGGACCGGGCGCCGAACCCAGTCCTGCTGATCATTAATGCGCTGAAGAAATCTTCATCATCATCAACAGATAATCACAGTTCTGCTTTATTAAGGTACAGGATCACAGTTACAAGAAGTTATTTTCTGTGCATGTGCGAAACTTCCGGTTCATGATCCGCTGTCAGGAAATTACTTGAAGAACAGTGTGTTTTTAATTAGATTACATTACAATATTTGAAAAAATACCACTTGATAGATTGGCGCAGGAATGACGTCACTCTGTAGTCCATCCGGCAGTTCGCATCACGCTTGATTTCCCCGTAGACTTTTAGATTATCGCTAAAATCCACCTCTGTGATTAACAAAAGTTTATGACATTTGCACATGTTGTCCATCAAGATAATTATCACAGATGAACACAACTTTTATGAATTTTGAAGCCCAAATAGAGTCGGCAGAAGTAAAAATCTAAAGGTAGGCTATAAACGTACTACACCACGGTCGCATAAATTCAACGTCACCATCACTGAGTTTCGGACAACTCATTTTTTATCTGAACACATTTTTCCCAGAACGTTTGAGTTCTAATAGTGAGCACGATTATTAACGAGGCTGTAAAAGCGGACTGAGTTCGGCTGATGACGTTTAATCTCCTCGACAGCCTCTTGTTAGCCTTTTTCAAGACACGTAACGGCTTCATCACGAGCAGAGGCGGACAGAGTACAGAGCTTTGTTACTTGAGTAAAAGTACAGATACCCCTTGCTAAATTTTACTCAAGTACAAGTAAAAGTACTACAGTCAGATAAAAGTACTAAAGTACTTGTTTTTAAAAGTACTTGAGTATCAAGAGTACAAGAGTAGATTTTCTAAATAATGCATTAGTAATCTACTGCCACAGTGCTTACATTTATGCACAGAAACGTCCTACATGGAGTTATAAAAAATGTTAATGTTAATACCTTGGAGAATGTAAAAGGAATTGAAAGTAAAATCAAGTCATTTTCATCTTTTTACCATGTTGCTTTATTTAATTTAATTACATTTTTGGGGGGTCCCATCTTTAAATGCGGGCACAACACACACACACACACACACACACACACACACACACACACACACACACACACACACACACACACACACACACACATGTAAGGGTGGCGCTGCCAAATAAAGCACCTAAAAGCTGTCACAAAGAACCGGCAAAAGGAATGATTATGAATATGTAAAATATAGCAAGGAGATATTTTAATTGTTTATTAATAAACACTTGTTAATAAACAAGTGTTTTCTTTGTCAGTGTCGGCTAGATGAAGTTGATCTTCAGTAGTGAACGCGCCAGAGAGAAATGCACATTTCATACGGATTACATAAGCAGAGAGCAATCTGTAGTCTGTTTTCTTTCGTTTTGAATTTTTCTGTTTAAAAGTAGACATGTCTGTGAGAGGCAAGTAGGCTACCTTATACACTGAGTTTCGGTTCATTTATGAGATGAGAGCCAGTTCACGTGCCGGCGCCTCCGTTTCTTATCTATCGTCTGCTATTTACTTCTTATTTATTAAACCCAGGCAATTGGTTGATGAAACATTGATTAAAATTAAGATACAATTAATGCAAAATGAAATTCAGGTTAAAGAAAGGTTTTGTGTTTTCTGTTTGATGTCTCTGTGAAAGTTTTAAAGCATTTTTTATGCCGCTTTCAGAGCGCTCACGTCCGTAACGGAGAACAAGGTCGGGACATGACGGAATATTCACTTGCACAATCGGGCCAGCAGTGCATCGTGACTGAAGTCTTTTTAAGTCTTACCAGTTTAAACATTCAAGCGATTTTACACTAATCAGTGCTCGCGCGCTCTCTGAGATTATTTTCTATGCGCACATTCATAGAAAATCCGCCTCAAAAACAGCTGGCCAGTAACTATTTTTCGCGGATTATATTGCTTTAACACGCAAAATTGTCAATTTCGGTCTTTGTGAGTAGGCTATACTCTAAATATAGTCGGTTTTGTCTTTAATAAGCATAAAACGCATGCCAGTATAATGAACACAGGATCCGTGCACTAGCTCTTAAAGTGACGGAAGCCATATGTGTCTGTCATTAATTTTGTTGTCAAAACAACAAAAGATGGCTTTAAGTTAAAGGAATCAGGATTAATAGCCTATGTATTTAATTTATTCAGGACTAAAATACTACCCAGTGTTATTTTTCATTTGATTACTTTATTCAGTATCTGTATATGAATACTAGTGTTAGACCTATTCAAAAACTTTTCTCTTTAATTGTCTTTATTTGTATCTTTATTCTATTGTATTTATTTGTGCTACTTTTTTCAATTTAATTAAACAATTTAAATCAAGCTTCCTTGTGATGTGTAAATTCTTAACAACAATATTACCCCATTGTAGAAATGCAATGAGCACAAACATTTAGGCAAGATAAATGCAATAATTTTGTTTGGAAAAAATGCCCCCCCCTTTCTCCCCCTCAAACAAAAAAAAATCCCCCCCATGAGAATCATCTAAAGGGGGATTTCCCCCCCCATTTTCCAAAACGAAATTCAGGCCCTGAGAACTACCACATCTTTAAAGTACTATTAGTATTATTTGAAGTTATACATTATAAAATACGTAGACCTACACCACAAAACTAGTTGAGGATAAATTATTTAAAATTTGGCAATTTCAGCATTATAGACGTGAAATTTGCAGCCAAAACTTGAAATATAAGTTCTCAGAAAGTGCATTAAATTAATCCTCAATTGACCGGCAACACGTCCAACATGCAGATGCATATCCTACGGCACCATCCCGAAATCAATTTAGTTGGAGTACAGAACACAACCCAAAAGCAGCAGCCTACACTGCCTAGTATAGTTTAATCATTTGCATAGTTATTATTGTTCTTTGGTGTTTAGATTATACAGGTTTTTCCTAATGTTATTTCATAAAAATACCGGTATGTTTTTTCTTCTCTCAAAATCTCTTTTTTTTTACCACAAGCCCCGCCCCCTCAAGCCCCGCCCCCGTGATAGAATCGCAATACGAATCGAATCGTGGGTCAAAAATCGTGATACGAATCGAATCGTGGGTTTGGTGTATCGTTACAGCCCTAGTAACCATAGAACGTAACGTAACGCAACTAACCCCCCCCCTTTAGGAATTGATCGACAATAATCATCCATTCAATCTAATAATCAGGTTGACAAGTAATTAAACGTATGGCTGAGGGGCGCCTTAGGATGATCATGTTTAATAAACATGTTTTTGTTTCGCTTGTCATTCTAATTCTATGATTAATGGGAAGTAGGCCAAGGGCGACACTAGAGGGCGCCCGCGCCCCCAACACATTTGTCGCCCTAGGCAACCGCCTAGTTCGCCTATAGCAATCGCCGGCCCTGCTCGAGTAAAGTACAGATCCCTCAAAATTGTACTTAAGTACTGTACTCAAGTAAATGTACTCCGTTACTGTCCGGCTCTGATCACGAGTGGGTAATATACTGATGTCATAGAATAAAACATGAAAGTGTCTTGAGCTTGTGTTCATCACAAACCTTATATCAGCCATTTCACCAAAAACCCATTGACCCATTCACCAAAATTACAAATTTAAGCGGGTTTTCCTTGAAAGAAAATCTTTGTCTTAAAATATCTTGAATGTAACTCGAAACCCTTGCCTCATTTAGTATATGGTTCTATGAATATGCAAATGATCCACTGGTTGGCGATCACACGTTGATCTGATTGGTTACAAGGTCGTTTGTGACGTCAGAAACACCAGCGATTTCAAACCGTGTTTTTGAGACTGTCTTTAGTTCACTGCAGTTTTAACTTTAAGCTGCATAACTGCCTGCATCAGCTGCTGTTCCTCCTCTTCCTCAGGATGGTGTTCTTCACGTGCGACGCCTGCGGAGAGTCTCTAAAGAAAGCTCAGGTGGAGAAGCACCTGCTGAAGTGCCGCGGCTGTCGAGTTCTGTCCTGCATCGACTGCGGGAACGACTTCCGGTGGGTCGAGAGAGAGAGTGTGTGTGAGAGAGTGAGTGTGAGAGAGTGAGTGTGAGAGAGTGAGTGTGAGAGAGTGAGTGTGTGAGAGTGAGTGTGAGAGAGTGAGTGAGGGTGAGAGTGAGTGTGAGAGAGTGAGTGTGAGAGAGTGAGTGTGAGTGAGAGTGAGTGTGAGAGAGTGAGTGTGAGAGAGTGAGTGTGAGAGAGTGAGTGTGAGAGAGTGAGTGTGAGAGAGTGAGTGTGAGAGAGTGAGTGTGAGAGAGTGAGTGTGAGAGAGTGAGTGTGAGAGAGTGAGTGTGAGAGAGTGAGTGTGAGAGAGTGAGTGTGAGAGAGTGAGTGTGAGAGAGTGAGTGTGAGAGAGTGAGTGTGAGAGAGTGAGTGTGAGAGAGTGAGTGTGAGAGAGTGAGTGTGAGAGAGTGAGTGTGAGAGAGTGAGTGTGAGAGAGTGAGTGTGAGAGAGTGAGTGTGAGAGAGTGAGTGTGAGAGAGTGAGTGTGAGAGAGTGAGTGTGAGAGAGTGAGTGTGAGAGAGTGAGTGTGAGAGAGTGAGTGTGAGAGAGTGAGTGTGAGAGAGTGAGTGTGAGAGAGTGAGTGTGAGAGAGTGAGTGTGAGAGAGTGAGTGTGAGAGAGTGAGTGTGAGAGAGTGAGTGTGAGAGAGTGAGTGTGAGAGAGTGAGTGTGAGAGAGTGAGTGTGAGAGAGTGAGTGTGAGAGAGTGAGAGTGTGAGAGTGAGAGAGAGAGTGAGTGAGGGTGAGAGTGAGTGTGTGTGAGAGTGTGTGTGAGTGAGTGAGTGTGAGTGAGTGAGTGTGAGGGAGTGTGTGTGAGTGTGAGAGTGAGTGAGTGAGTGAGTGAGTGAGTGAGTGAGTGAGTGAGTGAGTGAGTCTGTGTGAGAGAGTTAGGGTGAGAGAGTGAGTGTGAGAGAGTGAGAGTGAGTGTGTGTGAGAGAGTTAGGGTGAGAGAGTGAGTGTGAGAGAGTTAGGGTGAGAGAGTGAGTGTGAGAGAGTGAGTGTGTGTGAGAGAGTGAGTGTGAGAGAGTGAGTGTGAGTGAGTTAGGGTGAGAGAGTTAGGGTGAGAGAGTGAGTGAGTGAGAGTGAGTGTGAGTTAGGGTGAGAGAGTGAGTGTGAGAGAGTGAGTGTGTGTGAGAGAGTTAGGGTGAGAGAGTGAGTGTGAGAGAGTGAGTGTGAGTGAGTTAGGGTGAGAGAGTTAGGGTGAGAGAGTGAGAGTGAGTGAGAGTGAGTGAGAGTGAGTGAGAGTGAGTGAGAGTGAGTGAGAGTGAGTGAGAGTGAGTGAGAGTGAGTGAGAGTGAGTGAGTGAGAGTGAGTGTGAGTGAGGGTGAGAGCACACCATGCTATGGTTGGCACAGATGGGCAGACTTCTGAACTCTTAAGGAAAAGTAAAATAAATATAATATGTCATTGTGAAGCTTCAATGATTCGTGTTTGAATTGTTTTGACGCAGTTACAAATTTGGACAGTCCTGCAATTGAAGGCCCACAGAATTTACAGTAGGGCTGCACGATATTGGTAAAAAAATGACATTGCGATATTTGATTTTTCTGCGATATATATTGCGATATAAAAACAATTTCACCAGATGACTTGAATAGCTCTACTTGGAAAGAATGAATCATTCTAGAATGACTCTTGAGTTCAGTGTTGGACAGATCAGTTGTTATTTTAACCATTCATTAAAGTGAATCGGTTCAAAGGAGTCAGTTCGCGAATCGGACGTGTTATTAACGGACCACGGCACACGTTGTGTGATTATCCAGGCAGTTTAGGACATCGCACAAGATTTGTCTCAACACAGAAAACATTTCATCACCAGATAGATTTTTTGTTTTGTTTATTGAAAGAGTGGTTTATGCCATCTGAATGTGTGGAAAGCGCTTCAGAGAAGATGAGGCAACGTTATTTTAGCACAATTCACAACCAGTGGTAGTTCAGAAAAAAAAAAACTTCGGTCTTCCGACCTTTTACCATCGTGTATTCTCAAAGATATTCAGTCAACTCAATTCATTATTATGAGCGAGGGAGGGAGAGAGAGCGCGCGCGCGACTGGGGCTTTCACTCTCTCTGCTCGTTCTCTCAGTTAAACAAGCGCAAATCCGCGAAGCCAACTTGATGTGTTGAATGCTCAGAGCGCGTTATAAAACGTATTCTTAAAATACACATTTCTGTTTTAATAAATGCTCATAGTAAATCATAGCATATTGCCTAAAACATTAGGTAGGTACAAAAATAATCAAACGGTGATACATTTGCGACCCATTAAAAATTAGGGTTGCAATGGCATTTCAAAAGGTCGCAGTGTAGTTCCCTGGAGTGAGAGAGTTAGGGTGAGAGAGTGAGTGTGTGAGAGTGAGTGAGGGAGTGAGGGAGTGAGAGAGTGAGTGTGAGAGAGTGAGTGAGTGTGAGAGAGTGAGTGAGTGTGAGAGAGTGAGTGAGTGTGAGAGAGTGAGTGAGTGTGAGAGAGTGAGTGAGTGTGAGAGAGTGAGTGAGTGTGAGAGAGTGAGTGAGTGTGAGAGAGTGAGTGAGTGTGAGAGAGTGAGTGTGAGAGAGTGAGTGTGAGAGAGTGAGTGTGAGAGAGTGAGTGTGAGAGAGTGAGTGTGAGAGAGTGAGTGTGAGAGAGTGAGTGTGAGAGAGTGAGTGTGAGAGAGTGAGTGTGAGAGAGTGAGTGTGAGAGAGTGAGTGTGAGAGAGTGAGTGTGAGAGAGTGAGTGTGAGAGAGTGAGTGTGAGAGAGTGAGTGTGAGAGAGAGAGAGAGTGTGTGTGAGTGAGAGAGTGTGAGTGAGAGTGAGTGAGTGAGAGTGAGTGTGAGAGAGTGAGTGTGAGAGTGAGTGTGAGAGAGTGAGTGTGAGTGAGTGTGAGTGAGTGTGAGAGTGAGTGTGTGAGAGTGAGTGTGAGAGAGTGAGTGTGAGAGAGTGAGAGAGTGAGAGAGTGAGTGAGTGAGAGAGAGTGAGAGAGAGTGAGAGAGTGTGAGAGAGTGAGTGTGAGAGAGTGAGTGTGAGAGAGTGAGAGAGTGTGAGAGTGTGAGAGTGTGAGAGTGAGTGTGAGAGTGTGAGAGTGTGAGAGTGTGAGAGTGTGAGAGTGTGAGAGTGTGAGAGTGTGAGAGTGAGTGTGAGGGAGTGAGTGTGAGAGAGTGAGTGTGAGAGAGTGAGTGTGAGAGAGAGTGAGAGAGTGAGAGAGTGTGAGAGAGTGAGGGAGTGAGTGTGAGAGAGTGAGAGAGTGAGTGAGAGTGAGTGTGAGTGTGAGAGTGAGTGTGAGAGTGAGTGTGAGAGTGAGTGTGAGAGTGAGTGTGAGAGAGTGAGTGAGTGAGAGTGTGAGAGAGTGAGTGTGAGAGAGTCAGTGAGTGTGAGAGAGTGAGTGTGTGAGAGTGTGAGAGAGTGAGTGTGAGAGAGTGAGTGTGAGAGAGTGAGTGTGAGAGAGTGAGTGTGAGAGAGTGAGTGTGAGAGAGAGTGTGAGAGAGTGAGAGAGAGTGTGAGAGAGTGAGAGAGTGTGAGTGAGAGAGTGTGAGTGAGAGTGAGTGAGTGAGAGTGAGTGTGAGAGAGTGAGTGTGAGAGTGAGTGTGAGAGAGTGAGTGTGAGTGAGTGTGAGTGAGTGTGAGTGAGTGTGAGAGTGAGTGTGTGAGAGTGAGTGTGAGAGAGTGAGTGTGAGAGAGTGAGAGAGTGAGAGAGTGAGAGAGTGAGTGAGTGAGAGAGAGTGAGAGAGAGTGAGAGAGTGTGAGAGAGTGAGTGTGAGAGAGTGAGTGTGAGAGAGTGAGAGAGTGTGAGAGTGTGAGAGTGTGAGAGTGAGTGTGAGAGTGTGAGAGTGTGAGAGTGAGTGTGAGGGAGTGAGTGAGGGAGTGAGTGTGAGAGAGTGAGAGAGTGAGTGTGAGAGTGAGTGTGAGAGTGAGTGTGAGAGTGAGTGTGAGAGTGAGTGTGAGAGTGAGTGTGAGAGTGAGTGTGAGAGTGAGTGTGAGAGTGAGTGTGAGAGTGAGTGTGAGAGTGAGTGTGAGAGTGAGTGTGAGAGAGTGAGTGAGTGAGAGAGTGAGTGAGTGAGAGTGTGAGAGAGTGAGTGTGAGAGAGTCAGTGAGTGTGAGAGAGTGAGTGTGTGAGAGTGTGAGTGTGTGAGAGTGTGAGTGAGTGAGTGTGAGAGAGTGAGTGTGAGAGAGTGAGTGTGAGAGAGTGAGTGTGAGAGAGTGAGTGTGAGAGAGTGAGTGTGAGAGAGTGAGTGTGAGAGAGTGAGTGTGAGTGTGAGAGAGAGTGTGAGAGAGTGAGAGAGTGAGAGTGAGTGTGAGAGAGTGAGAGAGTGAGTGTGAGAGAGTGTGAGAGAGTGTGAGAGAGTGTGAGAGAGTGTGAGAGTGAGTGTGAGAGTGAGTGTGAGAGAGTGAGTGAGTGTGAGTGAGTGAGAGAGTGTGAGAGTGAGTGAGTGAGAGAGTGTGAGAGTGAGTGAGAGAGAGTGAGAGAGTGTGTGAGAGTGAGAGAGAGTGTGAGAGTGTGAGAGTGTGAGAGTGAGAGTGAGAGAGTGTGAGATTGTGAGAGTGAGAGTGAGTGAGTGAGAGAGTGTGAGAGTGTGAGTGAGTGAGAGAGTGAGAGAGTGTGTGAGTGTGTGAGTGTGTGAGTGTGTGAGTGTGTGAGTGTGTGAGTGTGTGAGAGAGTGTGAGAGAGTGTGAGAGAGTGTGAGAGAGTGAGAGTGTGAGTGAGAGGGAGTGTTTATTATTTCCATTTTCTAATTTGGCCTTAGAGGCTAAAATCGAGATTTCCCCATATTAATTTGTGAATATTTTAAATGTTTAATAAAATAAAATCCTAAAAGAATTTATGAATGTTTTATTTTTATATAACCTAACCTTGTGTTTGTGTTATAGTATATTTCTTTTTTATATGTGAAGTCTCTTTTTGCTTATTCTATTATTCTGAGCTTTCTCCTCCGAAAAAATGGACTTTAAAGATACAAGTAGCCTAAATGTCATTTTTTTGAAAATTTAAGAAATTATCCATAAAAAAAAAAAAGTTTAAACATAATGAAATGTATCCCGCACCTAAACAG